ATGACCTCTATGGACAGTTCGAATTTTCGATCTTTTTTTAGAGCATCACGCAAAACAAATAGAATTTCACGCGATTTCCACATCAGAAAAAGATTTGTTAATATAAAAAAGCCACACGATGTATATAAATCCATATCTGACATAATCAATATCAGATATGATTATAATTAGACTCTTTATTTTAATAGCAATATTTTTACTGAATCATGTGACTTTGAAGCCTGAAAAGTTTATCTTACATGCAATTACGTCAAAAAAAGCAAGTCTATTGAATGGTCCATTATGGTAGCTCATCCATTGAGCCCCCCTCTGAGTGCAAAATTTACACGGCACTTGTTGTGATTTTTCAAAAAGATTATTACACACGCGTAAGATATTTTGTTTTACCAAAACTAGTAAGTTTATTGACTGACCCAGTGTGTTCAAACAGAACATTTGATGAAATCCTTTACTCGCATCTTGACCTTTGAGGTAGCTCAGGGGTTGAGATCAATTTAAAATAGCGTAACACATAGTAAAGTGCAGCTTTTCAAAAAATTTGTACGTAGAAGAATTGATAGTTAAAATTTTATATAAGAGTCCAAATCCTATAGCTATAAGATAGTTCTTTGTCAAAAAATAAAAATATGTCAAGACATTACCCTGAAAGCTGTTCTGAATGTAACGGTGGTTATTGTTTGTACGCAAGATATGCAAGAAGGGAGTTAGTACTAACCTCAGTTCACAATGAACCGAACTCTCAAAACTCTCAAATCAATGAGTTTGATGGCCCTAACCAATTTAATCAACAACTTTTCGTTGGTCCCAACCATCATATTGGATCTTTTCAACAACATTCTCATTACATTGGGCCTGTTCAACATCCTCAAATTATAAATGGACCGGCTCAGCAACCACTTATTTTGAATGGACTTCACTGCCCTCGTACTCACGGACCCGACCAATTTCCTCAGCACCCCCTCTTATTAATGGATCCGACCAACTTCCTCAAATCGCTGAGATAAACAATATTAATAATATAAATAATATTCCACCTGCTAATCAGCACATTCAATACCCTAATAGTCAAGCCACAAATTTATTTAAAAATTACTCGATTCAACCCCCGTTGACTCCCATGCAAGCCAACATCCAAATCAATAATAACCTCCAAAGACAACAATCATTCACGTCTCAAGCTTCAAATACGGCTGATCAGCGCTTACAAGACTTTAGAAATTGTAATTGTCAAGTTTGTAGTATTTTAAAGAACCACTGTTTTCAAAATATTAGCGATGAGCCACAAAATGAAAATTGTGTTACACGAAATGAACAAAATGAAGAAGTGAACATGAATAATGCAACAGTTATCATCAACAACAATAATCCTCAAGACTCTCAAAACTCGAAGAAATTCAAATACATTATTTTTGCTTTTATCATTATTTGTATAGTTTTATTTTTAGGACTAATTTGTTTCAACAGTAACATCACAATTTTATCCGCTGTTTTTGCTGATAACAGAACCTTTTTCTTGAATTTAAGGTTGGTGGGGCAGTTAGTTACAATTATGAGTACCGCTATTAGTTTTTTTAAATTTTACACTACTGGCAAATAATACTTGTCACTATTTTTTGCGGGGTTATTTCTTTACATTTAAGGCTTTTGATAATATAATCTGCTTTGTCTTGTAAGTTGTTAATGATGTGAGGTTGTCACTTAATAAAAGATTTATTAGATTTTGAACCATAAATTTATAATATGTATAAAGGTTGTCGTTAAAATAAGCTCATAAAGAATAATGAAAATTGCTCTTTATAATAACAAAAAAGCACTTTTGCGTAGTAAACTAATGCTATAACCAAAAATTTCACGATCTTAGCAGCTTCGATTACTTCTTGAATTGAAATTGTTTCATTTTTGTTTCTTGCATATTCGATAATTTCAACAGTCATTGGGGTAAAGTTAATAGCTTTAATCAGTGATTCAATCAATAAATTTTATGTTAACGTTTTTAATTCAGAAACTTTAGTCTCGAGTTAATTTACCTGGCTTGTCTTGACTGATAATTATTGCAGATACTATCAAGAAAAGTGCTATAGTTGTAGCAACTTAAATGAGAAAATTGATAACGCAATTCATTTTGTAAGTTTTAAAAGTTAACACTTGAAAGGATTTACAATATATCGATAATTTAAAACCAGTTTATATCGATAAAGTAATTTTTATAATTTATGAGTAGTTTTCGCACGAGAGGTAGCAAATTCATATGATTTGACGTCTCTGGTTTCTGCACTCTGATTGGTCTAATCGAGTATTACGTAACCGGAAAGTCCATGAACATATATGTTTAATATCACGTTATACATAATCTGTACGTGTCTGTAGACTTTTCGATATGTAACTGGTTTAAGCTTAGAATTTTTTTTTAGAATTGTCATTATATATACACGTGAATTAAACACGTTAAAATACGTACACGAGACGGCATTAAGTTATTGGTAGGGTTGTTAATGGAGCACTCCAGACTATAATAAAACATATAACCTGCTTCTGGAGTGCTTCGGAGTGGGTTATATGTTTTATTATTAACTAGAGCACTCCATTAACAACCCTAGTTATTGGCTGATCCCAATTAAGGAGTAATATTTGCAAGTCTTGTGAAAGTACAGGGAAAATACACGTGTATGAAGGTTTTTAGGTATATAAGACTTCAAAATTTTCAAGTTGCCAAATAAGAAGAAAATAATAAACAGAATCACATGTATCAAAGAATACCTCAGAATCAACAGATTCATCGAAACAGTATTCAAAACTATATTCAACCTTATCAACTCTATTACGGTTCCCAGCCTTATAGTTTCGAGCCTCAACAAAACAATTACAGTTTCCAGCCTCATCTTGCTAATGATTTTCCACATTATCAAGTCGTTCATAATGATTTCCAGCCTCATCTTGTTCATAATCCTTCATCTTATCAACTTCATACTCAACTTAATCAACTCTATAACCACCAAATTCGAAGTAATTATGGTTTCCTGCCTAATAGTTTTGAGTCTCAACAAAACAATTACTATCAAAATAGTGTTCAAAACCATAATCAACTCTATAATCACCGAATTCGAAATAATTATAGTTCCCAATATTATGGTTTCGTGCCTCAACAAACCAATAATGATTTCCAGCCTCACGATTCTCCGCATTATCAAGTCGTTCACTACCGAAACAATATTCGAAATCATAATCAACATAATCAACTCTATAATCACCAAATTCAAAATAATTGTAGTTCCCAATATTATGGTTTCGTGCCTCAACAAACCAATAATGATTTCCAGTCTCACGATTCTCCGCATTATCAAGTCGTGCACTACCGAAATCATAATCAACATAATCAACTCTATGATTACCGAATTCGAAATATTTATAGCTGCCAACTTTATGGTTTCGAGCCTTAGCAAAACAATTATGGTTTCTATCCTCATCTTGTTCATGATCCTTCGTTTAATCAGCTCGTTCATGATCGAAACAGTATTCAAAACCAGACTTATCCTTTTCTTTGTTTATCGAACGAAGTCCTTAGAGAAATATTTGAATATCTTAACAATAATTACAAAACCTTATTTTCATGCCTTCTTGTAAACCGTAGATAGTGCAGAATTATTGCATCGATATTATGGAAAGCTCTTTGTTTTGAAGACATAAGAGTCATCAAAATAGATCTTTTAAAACTAAACGCCAAAGAACAAGCACTCTTAGTCCCTTTTAAAATTGACTTACCAGAAAATAATCCGAAGCCATTGTTTATTATGCAAGCTTTATTACTTTTATCGATGGTCAGCATTTGAACAGAGGAGTGTTAAATTTGCTTAAAGAACGCGAAGAAAGTTATCTCGTAATGGCTGTTAAACATTCTTTGATTTCAATGTTTCTACGACAAAGTAAGAAACTTAACACTTTAAGTCTTCCCCATAACAAGCTTGGTTCTTTTGGAAGAAGCACGATAGCAGCAATAGCAGATGCTCTTATCATAAACAACAGTTTATCTACCTTAGATCTTTCAACTAATCGACTAGGCCCTGACGGAGGAAAGGCCTTAGCATGTGCTTTTTGCAAAAATAACAGCTTATCGATTTTAAATCTTTCTCAGAATAAACCTGGTCCTAAGAGTGGAGAAGCAATAGCAGATGCTCTTATCAAAAACAAAAGTCTAATCGATTTATGTCTTGGAAATAATAACCTCGGTACTTTTGGAGGGAAAGCAATAGCAGCCGCTCTTTGCAAAAACAACACGTTATCAATTTTAAATCTTTCTCAGAATGAACTTGGGTTTGAGGGTGGAGAAGCAATAGCTGATGCTCTTATCATAAACGACAGTTTATCTATCTTAGATCTTTCGACTAATTGGCTAGGCCCTAACAGAGAAAAGGCCTTAGCATATGCTCTTTGCAAAAATAACAGCTTATCTATTTTAAATCTTTCTCAGAATGAACTTGGGCCTGAGGGTGGAGAAGCAATAGCTGATGCTCTTGTCATGAACAACAGTTTAATCAATTTACGTCTTGGAAATAATAACCTCGGTACTTTTGGGGGGAAAGCAATGGCAACTGCTCTTTGCAAAAACAACACGTTATCAATTTTAAATCTTTCTCAGAATGAACTTGGGCCTAAGGGTGGAGAAGCAATAGCTGATGCTCTTGTCATGAACAACAGTCTATCTACTTTAGATCTTTCCACTAACCAACTAGGCCCAAATGGAGGAAAGGCATTATCATATGCTCTTTGCAAAAACAACTCGTTATCAACTTTCAATCTTTCCGCAAACTACATTGGGTATGAGGGTGGAAAACCAATAGCAGATGCTCTTTGTATAAATAACACTTTAATCAATTTGGATCTTTCATATAATTTCCTTTGTTCTTTTGGAGGAAAAGCAATAGCAGATACTCTTTGCAAAAACAGCACGTTAGCAACTTTAAATCTTTATAATAACTTCCTTCATTCAGAAGGTGTGGAAGCAATTGCAAATGCTCTTCACGAAAATAACACTTTAACTTCTTTGAATATTGAATCAAATTACTTTGATTTTGATGTTTACATGAAAAATATTGATGTTTTTATGAAGGTGTCACATCAGCCATTCGCGTAAAAGCACTTTCATTATACTCAATTCAAAGTTAATGATAATCGTTTTGATTTTGAAGAAGAGAATGTAATTCATAAAAGAGAAGGTTATTAGCTGAAATGAGTATTATGTTCTTTATAAATAAACAGTTTGTGGATTTAAATGCGAAATGAATTTTATTCTTCTTAATTGGCTAAAAATATTAAATATTGATTGATTTTTTTAGGTAGTCATAACTCTATGAAACATCATTTGCCACGTCTTCATATAAATAAAAAGTAGCATACGACAGTATATGAAACAAAGCAAAATAATCCAAAGATAAATTCCAATACCTAAAATAAAAAAATAAGAAAGCAATATTATAAGTTTTTAAGAATTAAATCACTAAAAATTTTACTAATGAAATCATATCCGTTCATTAAGTAAAAAATAATTTTGCTGCAGACTGTGCTACGCTGTCGGCCTAGTTCCGATGCCTTCCGATCTAAATTTCGGGGATCCAACCTTATAACAGCTGATCAGAAGAGATCGGAAATCACATGGTTCGCAGCATTTTTGTTATGACTAAGCTTATTTATTTTGTTAAGCTTATTTATTTTGTTAAGCTTAATTAAGGCCAAATATTTACGACCTGATTGGTCGAACGCCAATAAATTGTTTATTTGACAGCGAAATTAAGTATCCTGGTCACATCCAGATAACGAGTATTTTTCAAATAACCTATTCAATGTCTGGGATACGGATTACTGAACCCGACTAAACCAAACAAGTGAAAAAAAAGATCAAGCCGCGAAAAACACAAGAAAAGATAATCAAACCACCTAAAATATAACCTCAAAATGGCCCTAACACTAACCCTAATATTAAATAAGCGTTAAATTAGATAATTTTTCAAAACTCGCACCGCTTTAGCTGATCTCCTTTTTCTAATAAAAAAAAAACTAAGAAAGCGTCGTTTGAAACCGTAATTGGACATTACAAAAATGCTTTTTTCACTACCGTCCAAGCGCGAAATAACGCCCACCTGCGCGTTAATTAATTGACCTGCGCGTTATTTATAGTATTTACTTATAAGAATAAAAAGGTGCTCCGGAACTGGATTTAATATTAAGTAAACCTACAATTAGAATCGTCTCACCCGAAGAACAACTTTTTGTTAAAGTCAAAAAATGGATTTACTTAATGTCAAACAGTTCCGAAGCACTTTTTACTCATTTATTTATTTATAGGGATGCGCGTTAATTCGGGACGCCCATGGGCGTTAATTTGAAGCTACATATACTATTTTAGGGGTATCTGATTTTCGAATTAGCGTTATTTCGCGCTTATACGGTATACTTTTTTGGAACCTTAACCGAATAATATTGATTTTTTTCCGATTTAGTTTAATTTGTTTTTTATTAACTGACTGTAGAAAAACCTTTTGAAACTACATTATAAGCGTTCGTTACAATAAATTGGTTGAATTAATAGTGTTTTCCAAATTATTATAACTACTTGATGATAATTTTTTTTACAAATTGCCACTAAAAATTCCAAAGATTCTGTAACATTCAAAAATTCCCACTAATACAGAAAATATAAAAAATTAAAGTTATATACAAACAATAAAATTCCACCTGATGAAAAAATTTCCAAGATCGACTAAAATCTCAAAATCAGATAAAAAGAATACAGTAATGGTACTGTACATAAATTTATATTAAAAAATTTTTTGCTTGTTATCGGGTCTTGGGAAAGACATTTCATAACCGAGCATGGGACCTGCGGTATGAAAGAGTTTAGGACGATATTCGGGAGGTTCCGACATAACACTAAAAAAAATAATCATAATAATAAATTACTATTATTATATGGTGATAATATGGTGATAAAAAAATTCTTTTTTTGATATATATACCAGGAATTTCTAAACTTTTGAACAAGCGCGTTTTTGCCCTGGACATTGGCATACGATAATTCACAAATCTTGTCAGAGTTGAAGCTTGGCCTTTAAAAAGTTATTATTTGTTACAAGGTTGTATATAATTGTATAACAATTTGGGTGAATAAAGGAAATGCACATACCATTTTTTTCCAACGCGTGCTTCAACAAAAGAAGGTACGACACTTTGAGACAATATATAAATATTAGTATTATGAAAAGGGAATACAATAATAAAGTACATATAAAGAAGTTTACCCAATATCTACAAAGTTAATAAAAGCGTATCCGACATTGCACTTGTTTTTAAGATCGATACGCAAGTAGACGAAATCGTATTGACCACAATGGGTTTCATCAAGCCAATCCAACAGCATTCGCTAAATTTACGCAAGTAATGTAAGAAACAACGCAAAATATCCATTGATAATGGAACGACCATATACCTGAGTATACTTGTTCGGAATGTTCCTGATCATGAACGTGGTACGATCGTCAAGGCCTATGAAATGTTAAAATTAAGATAAATCAATAAACTTAACCAATTATTATCAAAATCTTATAAAACATAGTTTAAAAACAGTTTGTATATAATAGTAAGTTACGGGATATATATGGCTTCTAAAAAAATCAATTCGTTTATAATCAAAATTTTATGTTTTTTCTTCACACAAAAATTGCCAATTCTGATTGGTCGAATCATATATTGCACATATAAATAAATATAATTATTATGAAAATATAATGTATAAAACCTAAATAGTCAAGGCTAATATATAAATATTTTAAAATTAGTTATTAATCTATTCAAATTGGCTTAAACTGTTTAATTTTTATATGTTATATTTTTGTAATAATTATATTTTGCCCACCACATAACCTAAAATTTCTAACTTTATAATTACATGCAACCTGCTGGTTACCGTTTGGTTGGGGTATGTTTTGATGTATTAAAAAAATAGGTGCAGGTGTATCAAAAACGAAGTTTTGATCTACGTTCACCCTACCCTTTAGAGATAATAAAATTAAAAATACCATTTTTAATTCTTTCAATATCTAGAGTATTCCTTTCTGGGATAGTTCTGTTACCAGACGAGATCACGGTACTATTTTCAGGCGGGGATGGAAAAACCTGTGACCTATTTTCCAGGCCTGGTGAAGGAGCAACCAGGAACTGGCATAGGGGTGGGGGAATGGTCAAACCAGTTTTTTGATGATATTTGAAGTCTTCAGCAACCACGTCCCATGAATGTGATCCAGCATCGTAATATTGAACACGGATTTGAACCCCCTATTTTTATAGGAAATTATAATTGTAAATAAACTAACGAATTATAAAATAAATCAATGATGAATTATAAATATAACTAAATGAACGAATTATAAATATATGGGGATGAGGTCAATAGAAAAAGCAAATTGTTTCTAAGTAACTTTTTTTTTTGTTTTAATTCTATATAGTTATAGAATTAAAATAAAAAAAATTAAAAAAAAGTTAGAAACAATTTTCTTGTTTCCTATTGACCTCCCCATGTATAAATAATGAATTATAAACGATATGGATTAAATAATTGAATAAATCACAAATATAAGATACCTCAATAATTATGCCGTTTATTGATTCTTTGGAGGCTCGAGCAGCGCGTGTATCATAATATTCGATTAAAAAGACCAGTGTTTGTCCGACTAAGAATGATCTAGCAAATCTAATTGTACCCACTTGAGCGAAACGATCCTAATAATAAAACGAAATTAATAATCAGCAATAAATTCTTAAAACTAACATAAATATATATAGGATTTTTTTACCAAGACCGTATATTGAATTGATTGTGCACCAATCCAAGAAACCATGATGACACCTTCGTTCGCCCAATCACATTCATTACCTTTGATCTTTGACAATTCCTATATACCGTACATATTTTTTACATATGAAATAATTTTATAGAAATTTTAATATTCATAACATTAATAAGTTTTAATGATAATAATAATTTTAATCAGAATTATGTAATTATCATTATAATTAAAATTGATATTACCATTTTAAAGATATTAACGTTATCATTAAGAAAACATTATTAATAGAAACATACCTGCACAGCGCATTGTTTAGAAGAAAACTGGATTTCCAATCTTCGCTGATTATGAGGTGCGTCTTGATAACGAAGAAACTTATATGCCTTGACTGCGTCACGAAGATCATAGTAGATCACATAAGCATAACGGATTCCAGCAAGAATTTCTTGGACGTCACCATAAATCTATTATAAAAACGCGTAAACTAAAAATCGACAGTAACGCAGCAACTCATTTTAACACATACATGCAATTTATGAGAACTAATAGTTAATATAGCCGAAAACTTTAATAACAAAAATTAGGCCATACATACTTAATAAATCGGTTTTCATAACATAAAATTTTTAAAGTATCTCGGCAACCCGGCTTTTAATTTTATTTTCAAAAAAATTTTATACATAAAAAACTTATAAAATTTTTTATAGATTTTTTAAAAAACTCACCCGGATAGTAAATATATTTAAAATTTTTTAAAAAAATTTGTAAATTTTGACCGTCCGGGTCATGAAAACCGAATTATTAAGTCTGTATGGCCTTATGATTAGCACTCAGATAAATTAATTATTGGCTCTCTTTAAATTGCATGTTTCGCATAAATACGAATTAAAAGACTACTTCAAAAATTGATCTCAAGTGGCGCCAGAAGTCTACATCTGTAGGACTGTTTAAGACATACAACCACCTAGAAGGTAAAGCACCCCAAGTACAATAAAACATCTTGGAACCATTTAAATCAGTGGTTACGACTGGAGAAGGAATAAATGAACTCGTGTCATACTCTGATACAGCTGGAGGGAAACAAAACAGACCTTGACCAGATCTAGAGATCAAATCGTTTCTTTAACAAACGTTCGTTCCTTGTTTGGACCAACATAAAACTTTGCGATTTGACAAGCGAACGATTCCTCATCGTATATACCCATGTGATCTTTAAAAAATATAATTTCATCAATAACTTTAAAACGAATATAATAATTATAAAATATTCATACTTACTATTAAAAAACAATATACGGTAATTCGTCACGGAATTGATAATATCTTGCAATACATTAGTGTGAGTAAGAGGCGTAGGTAAAATTGACTTCTAAAATAAGAATAAGAGGTATGACGCGACGATGCTTAATTGTATGCGTTGCGAAACGCGCCGAAGCCGAATTACAGAATTTACATGTCCAAATGGACAAAGATACTGTACCTTTTGATCAACGGAGGAGTCAAACATAGTTGTGACAGAATTCGCAGTCAATGACATGAATTCCTCTATTATGATTTTAAAGTTTTATAATTTCCAAAGATTTCAAATTATTCCTAATAAAATATAATTAAGATGAAGTTCTTTTAAAGTTGTCCAAATGTATGCTCATTATATTATATGCAGCATACTGTACGTACAGATCTCCCGTTATTATGTACTGTCATTATAGTTATAAGAAACTTGTTTTTAACAAGTTTGCAATAAAAACGGAAAATTTTCTGAATTAAATATGTTGCATATTTTAAACTTGTATCTTCAAACAGTATATATATCGTATAAATTAGTTATTGTAGTTATTGCAAGAAATGTATTTAATTAATATATTATTAATAGAATTAAAACAAGTTTTTATTTCCAGTTATCAGTAGTTTTCTGTTATAATATTCTAAAGTTGCACATTTGAACTTTTTCTATTTTTAAGAATATACTAATAAAATAGACAAATTTTTTTATTTAATCATTTATATTACGCAATAAAAACTGGATTACTATATATTAATAAATACATGAAAGCTATCAGGGCAGCTTTTTTCAAAATTTTAACTTGTAAGAATAAATCAAAAGATTCACTTGTACCAAGTCAAGGTTCTAAACAAGAGGTGCGAACCCATTTATTCAAAGTTTACGTGACTTTCGGAATTCTTGCGTCTCTAACCCTAACTTAGGCCTATAAGTCACGTGAAACGTTGTGCCCGTAGTTTATGTATTATATATTAATATATTAATAGCATATATACTCATTTTACTAACGTGAAGAGCACATCATAAAGCAAGCTTTTATGTTCAGTTATCTATAATATATAATTAGTAGATTACGTAAAGGATACTAAATAGGCGAATAGACTAGAATTTTTATTACCCTTTTTATACATATTGATTTATTTTAAACTTTCAATATATGATGATTTGTTCTATACATAGCTATCTTGTTTACACGAGAATTCACAAACAGAAATCTGATAAATTGACATCGTTCAACCCTTATCTTCGTGTAGGCAAGAAGGAACCTTTTCTAAATATTTAGGTATTTTTTTTTCAAAAAAAAACATGCACGCGATTTAATTAACACAGAATTATGTTCGCTTTTTATAGTTTATTAAAGGTTTTCACGCCATAATACGGTATAAATATTTTTACATAATCATATTAATAGATTATCTTCTTTCTTCTCAAAAAAGATCAATTATAATAGATTTAGAGAATAAAAATTTCATTCAGCTCTTGGTTCCAAACCAAGGTAAGAAAATAAATTTATTTCTATTAAGATGACCTTACGATGGGCTTAAAATAATGAACTTTTTGAAGCAGTGCGTTTAATAACTAATACAATCTTTATAGGTGTATTAGTCAATGTTCCTAATAATTATTCGCCTAACGTTTTCTTAAGTAGAATTAAATTTTTTATTGTCAAAATATAATACATAGTTATATCTC